TAGTAACCAACTCTATATACCAACAAATATATATGTAGCTATTCAAATTTCCGCAAAACATGCGGATAGTTTTCGCAACTTAAATAGAATGGCTTTTGCTCCAAACCACGAATACTTGGAAAACTCCATCTGCAACATTGACCACGCTCCACGAAATTTGTCTTTGTTTCCAGCTGGAACTTACTGGCGCTGTTTGATAACTCATATCCCATATCGATTAGCAAACAGCGAACCTTAGTTGGAGTTACAAGGCGATCTAATTGGTATCGACAAAGTGATGTTTTGATGAAACTCTAACCTGCTGTAATAGAATTACCAGACCTAGAAACTGAAGCTAGGAGCAGCCGGGGAAGTTGCTGTAAAATATTAGCCGGCTTAATAATACAAAGCTTTTAAGCCAAAGCCGTATTTTCGGCCGGGGCTTTGAGCGAGGCTTTAATTTTTTAAAACCCCCATTATTAAATTTACAAAGCCCTATTGATGTCTTCAAACGGAACGCGAACCGACACACAGGCGGTCCCGATCACTGTTTCCAAATGAAAACCAATATGCTTTGGCGGAAATGTTTCTTGTTGAGTCTTTTTATCGAATTTCCGGGTTACTTAGAGCTCGCTAAATACGTTCAGTGTATGTCTCAAGCTCTTCGATCCGATTCCCAACTTTAATGAAACTACATAGATTTGCTCCATCACGATTCCGATGTTTCTGTTTCTCTGCCACTTTGTTGAATATTCTTACGTCTTTTCGTTCCGATCCTCTTTCTGATCTGTAAAAGCGATAGGATTGGAAGGTCGATCTGAGAGCATTTTTGACGCAATTTTCCTCAGCTCAGCTGAAAAGCAATTGCTGGAGAATTACGTTTAGACCAACGTGCTTTTGAGCATTGAAGAAAACTCTTTCTTGGAAATATGAATTTGTTTCCATAAAGGGGTTTGTTGAACTTCAACACATCAAGTCAATGATTGTTTGTCGCGAAGTTTCGTCCTCATCCTCACTATATTTCTGCGTGAGTTACTGCTTTATCTCCCTTTATCAAAATTTTTTAAGTTCATGAAAACTCCTTGGATACCTACCATGTGGATTCATTCAATTTGGGTTAGTTTGGGTTAGACAGGGTTACATGGGCTACCATGCTAACGCAAACTGAATTAAGTGGTTCGTCATTTTGAAATAATACTGTTTTTTCATTGCTACATACAAACTGTTAATAAATGGGTGAAATACGTGGCAACACGGCGTTGTGCTGAATTCTCCAAAGAAATATAAACAATCCAACAACTGACTATCAACATGCTACTTTGCCCCAAACTTTGCAAAAAACGGAATTATTATGCATCTTAGCGACAATTTTGAATGTGGATTTATGAATTGTCGATGCCTAAAGCAGGATTTTGCAGCAAATAGCCCCGGACAATATCAATTTCGTGCATAAATAAGTGGTTTTGGAAACTCAAGTGTCAGAAGTTTGTGAGTGCTTTTCGGCTTAATTTGAAGTGATTTTTAAAGTAAGAATAGAGAAAACTAGAAATTCCGAGAACCTCAAACGACACCATCACCTTAAAATTTCGCGTTTTGTCGTTTCCTAAAAACACTGACGCAACACTCACTTATACATTTGATCAGCTATTTATCTAGTTATTGGCTCATCCGTCGGTAAATACTTTCAAATCCCCAGGCCGAATGGGGTGGCATTTTATTAGTCTCCAACCTTCCCACAAGTGCATCCCATTAGTAAACTAAACTCGCCCATTTGTAAGCTAGGTTGGCTCGCCTGCAGTCCCATGAGCCCCATTAGATTTTCATGCAGCTTTTTCTGAACGCTCGAAAGCCGTTAAGCCGTATTTAATATTATGCTGAGCTAAAACAACCGTTTATGAGCCAGTTTATATGGCTCGGGACGTGTGTTTGACATACAATAAATGCCCAGCCATGTTTATTGCTCGTAAAAGTGCGATTACGATTGCGGGCCCAAATGGTAGAACTTGAGTTTATGCGAATGACCTGTTTGAATGGCCGGTGTTGTAGTCACTTTGAGTCGAGCTTCAAGCTGTGTTTCCAGCAAATTTCCCCAATAAACCACCAAGCTTAACCCTAAAACGACACTTGCTTATCTTGGGGTTGACGAAGAAAAATTGGATCGCAAGTTTGCGTTAATTTGCGTGCACGTTAGCGTTTTTTTCTGTTATTAAGCCCCATTAATCAACGGGCTTAAATAATTAAGCGACACCTTTGTTTTGGGTACATTTTTCTAATTGAAATTCCACTTTATCGGGCAAGAAAAAACATTAATTTGTTGTGTTTATGAAAAATTTAATTTATAATGTTGGGCCTGACATCAGGAATCTTTCGCAGTCTGATACGCGCGCAATAAAGAATGATTCTTATGGGGATTTGCGTGGACTAAAAAAGTTATTCCAACATTCGGAGAGTATAAACTGGGGCTAAAACAATGGCGATTAAGAAAAGTTCCAGCAAAATAAATAAATTCAGGCCATTACCAAGGCCTTTTTTGCCTTGTTGTTGCGCTAAACATCGATTTGATAGACGAACGAAAGCAATTTAGACTGAAATCGGCTCTCGCGGGAGAAATTATACTTTCGCGTAACTTTTTGCCACCGTTTAAAGCCCGGTTTTTATGGGAGCCCTATATTGCCCCTAGCACAATAATTGAACGGTCTTTATGATCCATAAAAGGCCGATTACATTTAAGTAATCTCCAGTATTGGCAATAAAACGATAATATAATAAACTGATGGTATAAATCCACGTCCAACATGGAAGCTAGTTCGTTTTTTCCACCTGCAAACGCAGACTCAGTCATCAGAAGAATACTCAAAGTGCCATTCCACAGTAAACTTTATATCTATCCTCTATTGTCGCTATCTCAAAATAGAGCCATTTTATGTCGCTTCGCTGCCTAGCATTATATGGCACACTTTCCACGCTCTGGCATAGATAGATAAGGTTATAATTTAGAGTCATATACGCCTCCATTGCGGTGAATATGGGCGTTAAAACGAAGGTACACAACAGAAACCGCGAGTGATATGTGATCCTCAAATCTCCCACCGCGTTGTTTGCAATCTATTGTCGAGGTTCGGAATTGTGCTCTAAGCGGGAATAATTTATTCACACTTGAAGTGGTTTGGATTCTCAATAAGGCGCTCAAGTAATGGAGGCACAAAAGCGACGCCTGTTTGATCAGGTTACTCTGTTTTTGTCGTCCGCATTTCGGCACATTTAAACCACTGAAGCGGACAAGGGAAGCGAATCAGTTATGGAGGACCACAAACGGTTTTTTTAAGTGCCGCAGTTTCCGATTTATG